AGCCTACAGTATTTTTACAGTCTTTATTTTACAGTTAAAATACATGTGTATTAAATAAAGTCTAAGCTTACAACTAATCGGGGATCCCTTTAAGAACAAAAGTTGCTAGATCTATTGGAGTACTGTGTAGGGGTCACCTCGAGTGAGGAAACAAGATTTTCTGCCTCTAAGCAGGCCTCGGAATAGCCTGAGAAGAAGACAGAAATTCTGTTCCACTCTGAACTTTATTTTAGTCCAAAGACAGGTCATACTAACCAGGGAAGAGAACACTCTTTCTCTTAAACAGATCATGGACAGAATAATCTCCTTTGCTCTTGATTCATATGTCATTTAACTATGAATGTTTATGCATTTGTTAAATCAAAGATAATGCCTGTCACAGAAAGGTAGAACAACTTATTTTCTCTTATCGTATCTTAAAGATTTATAATGGTATAAAAAATCACAGAGAATCTGATTACAATGTTTTCATTGTGTTTTTATGCAAATCACTGTTTTTATTTTACTGTCAACACAGTAATATAATTGTGGATTTTTCTTGAGAAAATCTTTCATCTAAACTAACAAAGTGGTTTAGAATTGATTATGAACAGAAATGTTACAGCTAATCATCATAAAATGTTCTTCAGGGATTTCATTTAGAGTCTGTCAGAAGGAATTTAAAAAATAGGTTATCATGTTTGTTTGTTTGCTCAACCATACAGAGTAACATTTACTGGCGCCTGGCAACTTCTTAACTTTCCTTATTCTGACTCATCCTTAAGCCTAGAGCCGGGAACCAAAAGTTGTCCGTTCTTATACTAACCCGGACAGCTTTSGACAGAACACACTCTGACTTCCTAACTCAATGAGGAAGGAGCTGATTTTCTCCTCCGGGAGATTTCAGCCGATGAGCTGTAGGTCTGACTCAAGAGCAAAAGAGTGGACCTTTACAACTAGGAACTCGACGCCTGTCGAATTCCCCTTGAGGTTTCAAAACCTCCAAGCAATTATTTTTCCCTTCTGGGGTGAAGGTGATTTTATTTTATTTTGAAGGTGATTTTATTTTATTTTGAAGGAGAAACCGGACTCAGCTCGATTTTCTGGTCAGAATGAGGCAGACCCAGAAAGGTTACCGGAGAAATAACACATGTTTTACCGATGTAAGGTGAGCGGACTGAGAAAGTATTCTAACCGACCAGAGGTGGACCAGTTCTCGATACTCAGGGGATGTCCAAGAAGTCGTCACCAGGTAAAGAGGCTGAAGTGTTTTGGTGATCGGGTCCGGCAGAAGCTGGGTTGAGAAAAGACGTGCAGATCTATGGATTTAAACCAGTGACAGCTTACATTGATATTGAAAAAGAGATTTGACACTGAAAAAAGAAACATTAAAAAATAAAACATTGTCATTGAAAAACACAACATTGAAAAATGAAACATTGAAAAATGAAACACTGAAAAAATAAACATTGAAAATATTTTAGCATTTTAAAGTTATAATGCCAAAATATTTTCAATGTTTCATTTTTCAATGTTTCATTTTTCAGTGTTTCAAGCTGGCACTGTTTTTGCGTTGGGGGGCGGGGCTCAACCTAAGGCTCCTTCAGGGACCTTCTGTTTTTCTGCACTCATCCTCTACATCTGCCTGCAGTCCATCAATGGAAGGTTCCAGTTCAAGTAATGCTCCTCCACCACAGGTGAAGCACTTGTTTTTATGATCTTTGTCATTATTGAATACATAAACATACAAGTGATTTAGTCGGTGTTGCCAACTTAGCGACTTTGTCACTAGATCTAGCGACTTTTTAGACCCCTTTAGCGACTTTTTCCCCAAAAAGTCACTATCCCCAGTGTTTTAGAGACTTTTAGGAGCTTTGGCGACAACATTTTCCAAGCACTTTTGTCCTTTCCTCCCCTGTTCCTCCGCAAGCGAGAAGGGGTAATCTGCAGAATCAAAGTGGGTGTATCAAAAGCACAAACACTGTGGGCTATGAGGCCTACGTAATGGTATCCTTAGATCCTGCTTGATCTCTTTACAGCCTGACCCTGACCCCAACAGTAAGCTTAACCAGGAGAAATGTGACCAAGTAGGGTTCTCCAGAAAAAGTGGTGCCGTACAGTTTGTTCACTTTTTTCCTCTTCATCATCTCTCCTATAGCTC